CTCCAGAAAAATCAACAATTGACCAGATTCATTCAATAAGACAGATTCTCGAGAAACATTAGAATTAAAGATTGAAACCCATCACCTATTCGTCGACTTCAAGGCCGCATACGACAGTGTCAAGAAAACAGTGCTATACTAATCAATGCATGAAGTTTGGTATACCAGAGAAACTTATCCGATTAACGAGAATGACAATGTCTAACTTAGAAGCCACTGTTAGAATACAGGGAGAGAATTCTAGATCCTTTGAGATAAAGGATGGACTCAGACAAGGGGATGCTCTGGCTCGCCTCCTATTTATGATTGCCTTAGAAAAGGCAGTCCGAGATACACGAATATGCTGATGACAATGACATAATAGAACGTAGCAAGCGAGATGTTGAGCAATATCTCATAGAATTGGAAACAGCGGCGAAACAGGTCGGTCTAGTCATCAACGAAGACACAATCAAGTACAGGTTGGTTACAAAGGATCCGATAGCAAATGAGGAACGAGAAACAGTCTTTGGAAGTCATATCTTTGGACGTGTTGACAACTTCATATACCTTGGGTCGCTATTGACTGCTACCAATAAAACAAGCGAAGAAATCAAAAGACGAATAAATCTAGGGCATACTATGGGCTCCAAAAGCATTTCCACTCAAGAAACATTCAAAGAACTCTAAAGAATTACTTTAATTTGTTAAGAATAAGGCGCCTATATGGTGCTAATTACTCTTAAAGTAAACTTACTTTAACCTTTACTTGTGGCTTGTTCCCATTTAAATAATAATTAATATCATATGTATTTTTAATTCAAGGTTTGTTGGATAATGCTCTTGATGTGATTGACCTGCTTATGCAGCAAAACAACACACAATTGCGAACTAGCGTAAATCAATTCATTAATTTTCTCAAGAATGTACTACCGCCATTGCCATCGCCTCTTGAAAGTTTACCAGCACTTCCAGGTAATTTTTATATAATTATTATTGTCTATTTCAGAGACATTTATTTTTTATTTAAATTAAGTAAATTTTTATTGTTACGATTTCAGCAAATTGAGGTAAAATCGTAATAGTATTTAAAGTTGCTATTTGGAAAGAGTTGTTACTTGTAGTACTTCATTATAATAAATAGGATGTTTTTTAGTGATTCTAATTTTAAAACCTAAAAATATAAATAAATAGTACTTTAATCTTATATCGACATTATTTATACATATTTGACAAAATTATGCTTCCTGTTTTTCCTTTTGTATTTTTTCCTTTTAATTCGTGTCTGAACAATGTCAAAGTATGCCTTATTTCATTCAAAACATTCAAAATTTTGTTTGTCACCGCAGAGATCAGATAAAGTAATCAAAGAGAAATTTTTAAAAGTGATTTTGAAATTAATGTAGATAGATCAAGACAGGTTGCAAAACTTAAATGGAACTTCGCCGGTCACACTCTCCGGCAAAAAGATGAAAGATGGAATAAGCGAATACTACACTGGAGACCATGGGAAAAAAAAGAAAAAGAGGAAGACCACAGATGAGATGGACTGACGATCTTAAGAGAACGGCAGGAAAGGACTGGATGCAGATCGCCCAAAATAGAGACCAATGGAGATTAACAGGGGAGGCCTATGCCCAAGAGTGGGCGTCTAAGGCTGATTAGATAGATAGATAGAGAGGTCAAGTTTACTTCTCCTACTACGATAATTTCCGATAATTTGGAAGCAAAGCCAATCAAACAAATAAAATTCAGAGGCGAATAGGCCTGAGATGGGCAGCATTTGGCAAATTAAGCCATATTCTAAAAAGTTCAATTCTCATGTGTCTCAAGAGAAAGGTATATAACCAATGTGTTTGGCAGGCAAAACATCGCTACGCAAAAATCTGCGAATAAATTCCGAGTTACACAACGAGCCATGGAACGTGCAATACTGAACGTGAGCCTTCGATACCACATAACAAACCAACGAATTAGGCAAAGATCAGGAGTTCAAGACGTCATCGAAAGAACCACGACGCTTAAGTGGAACTGGCAGGGCACTTAGCTAGAACACAAGATGGACGGTGGACAAGACGTATTATGGAATGGAGGATCAGAAACTATAAAAGAAGCCGAGGACGACCACCGACTAGATGGATCGATGATATAAAACGTGTATAGGGAAACTGTATAGAAAACGTGTATAAGCACCCGCAACCTAAGCATTAACCTCCGATGGCGCGCCACGAAATGCTACGTACTCTCTACGCTACTTTACGGCGTAGAAGGGTGGACGTTAACAGCAGCAACTATAAAGAAGTTAGCGGCTCTAGAAATGTGGCTGTATCGACGCATACTGAGAATACCTTGGACAGACAGAGTGACCAACACAGAGGTATTAAGACGAATGGGTAAAGAGGTGGAATTGTTAACAACTGTTAAAAGGAGGAAAGCGTCATACCTGGGCCATGTGTTCCGTAATGATAAGTACAGTCTGTACAGCTTATCGTGGAAGGCAAGATTGAAGGTAGAAGAGGTTTGGGCAGAAAGAAGAAATCCTGGCTGAGAAACTTGAGAGAATGGTTTCAAATACCAGAAGCTGCGAACATAATTCATGCGGCACAAAACAGAGAAACCTATCGTATGATGGTCGCCAACCTTCGGTAGAAGACGGCACATAAAGAAGAAGATAGGGAAACTGGCTACAAATGGCCCAGTGTAGAAAACACTGGAAAGAACTGAGGGAAGCCTATGTGCAGCAGTGGGCGTGATTAGCTGACTGATGAAATATATTACATTAAAATATTGTTTTGTATGTCATATTTTCATTAATAACAAGCATTCAAGTAGCTAATTGATGAGCCACACACTAAAAGTATTTTTAAAAATAATTTACAAAAGAATATTTAATAAATTAGAAGAGGACATAAGCGTCACACAGTTTGGATTCAGAGGTGGACTGGGAACACGGGAAGCTTTGTTTGGTCTGAGTGTGTTAATGCAAAGATGTTTGGATGTAAACCAAGACCTCTACGTAGGTTTCATAGATTTTGAGAAGGCCTTCGATAAAGTCAGACACCAAAAGCTGTATAAAATCCTAAGAAGCAAAAACATCGACAGTCGCGACATTAACATCATAACCAGGTTGTACTGGGGACAAACAGCAAAAATCAAAGTTGATAATGAGTTAACCGAAGAAATTGAGATTCGTCGAGGTGTGCGTCAGGGTTGTGTGCTTTCTCCACTATTATTCAATATATATAGCGAAACAATATGTCAGGAAGCGCTCCTAGAGCAAAACATTGGTATGAACATTAACGGAGAGTTAATTAACAATATACGATACGCTGATGACACGCTAATAATAACAGATAACCTAGCAAATTTACAGTTTTTGATGGAAAACATAAACACCCATACCAATAAGTATGGTTTAAAACTGAACATCAAAAAGACTAAATTCATGATTGTAACAAAGAAGCTATACACCAATGTGAATTTAACCATAAATAATCAGCCAGTTGAAAGAGTTACGTTCTACAAATATTTAAGGGTTTGCTTCACTGATACTAATGACCAGACAAGAGAAATCAAGAGGCGAATAGAGATAGCGAGACAATCGTTTGTCAAAATGAAAAAGTTCCTATGCAGCCGGGACATAAATATAAACTTAAGAACGAGAATGTTAAACTGCTATGTTTTCTCCGTTCTGCTGTACGGCATGGAAGCCTGGACACTGAAAAAGATAAACATCAAAAACATTGAGGCATTCGAGATGTGGTGTTACAGGAGAATGTGGAAAATACCATGGACAGAAAGAGTAACAAATCAAGATGTTCTGCTGAAGATGGGGAAGGAATGCGAAGTCATAAAAACCATACAAACGAAAAAACTGGAATATCTGGGCCACATAATGAGAGGAGAAAAGTACTCTCTGCTTAGATTCATAATCCAAGGAAAAATCTCGGGAAAGAGAAATGTGGGACGTAGAAGGATTTCCTGGTTGCGAAATTTAAGGGAGTGGTATGGGTGCAGTTCAATACAGTTGTTCAGAGCTGCAGCCAACAAAGTAAAGATTGCTGTGATGGTAGCCAACCTCCGATAGGAGACGGTACTGCAAGAAGAAGAAGATTCAAGTAGCACCCCACATAGTAGTACAAGATCTCATTAATAAATTCATTATCCAAAGTTATGCCTTTTTGACTATTTTGATAATAATCTATAAATACACAGTAACAATATAATCAAGAAACGAAAAAAAAGAGTCCCAATACTTTTACTCACACTGTAAACTTTTATTTTTAGATCAAAAGGAGATTAGTGATGATTTGTATAAATATACAAGAGAAGTTTTAGAATACTGTTCTATAGTAATACCGATAGTACAAAAAGTTCTAAAGGATCTTCCACCAGCCTCGTTACCTGAAATACCCAGTGGACTTGATCTAGGTAAGTTTGAACTAATATAGATCAACGTTTCTGTGGTAAACTTTGTGTAAACGTTTCAATGTTATGTTGTAGCATCCTATTTTCATCATCATGTAGCAATGTTTTGAATGTTAAAGTTCAGATGTTCGTCAAGTCTCTACAATCCACCTTGTCGCCAGGCAGTGTAGTACTGGTGTAGTGAATATGTAGACATGTGAGGTGCTAGCAAGTTCAAGCGCTATCTAAGAGAATATTTAAGAGATTATTTTATCTTTGTACTCTAGTACTCATACCATCTTTGCTATATTTGCAAATTGAATTATTCCATCAGCACTCTTAACTCATTACACTTCATTACCTTCAACTCTTCATACAGCTTTGTAGACGATTTCCTCAGCAAAGGCTATAGTGTGCTTCACTTCACTCTTTGCTCCTTTGTATGTAAAGGATATTACTTCCAGTTCCATGTCCACTTTCTCAATCTATATAGGTACATATATCTCAATCGTACAATTTATTTAAACAATTATTTTAAAATAAGTGACTGGTTGCTTATAAATATTTATTGATGACGATTGAAGTTTAATAACAATTATGAGTTTTATTTTTAGAGGAGATAAATATTGTTTCAAGTCCTTGGTTAAGGGAGCATCAAGGTATGCTTGTTCTTGCAATTCTCAAGGTTTATTCTCAAGTACCGCCGCCTCCAAAGGTTCCTGGTAAGTATTCGTATAATCATTATAATAACATAGTAATAGTAATTTCAAAATGTACTTCTTGTTCTTCTTCTTCTTACGGTGCCTACCTGTTCCAGATGTTGGCGATCAGCATAGCTGCCATGACTTCTTCAATAGTAATAGAGGGTCTTGTTTGGCAATCTATGTCTTCAATGGCAATTTGCTTTTTATCTGTAAATGTTCTTCTTCTTCTTCTTCTTCAGCCTTCATTTATCCAATGTTGGACATAGGCCTCCTCCAATTGCTTCCACGCTTCCCTATCTTTTGCAATTCTCATCCACTGCTTTCCAGCTACAGCAGTTATATCGTCTATCCATCTCTTTTTAGGTCTTCCCACGCTTCTTTTTGTTTCTCGAGGTCTCCAGAATGTCACTTTATGAGACCATCTGTTGGTGTCTTGTCTTGCTACATGTGCTACCCATTGCCATCTCAATGTCGCTATTTTTCCCATGATGTCGGTTACTTTAGTTCTTCGACGTATTTCGGTGTTAGGAATTTTGTCTCTGAGGCTTATATTTAACATGGCCCTCTCCATGGACCGTTGAGTTACTCTTAATTGTTCTGCCATTTTTCTTGTTATTGCCATAGTTTCCAATCCATAAGTTGCAACTGGTAGTATACAAGTGTCATAGGTTTTTCGTTTTAAGTGAATTGGGATTTTTCTGTCTTTTAAAATGAAGCTCAACTTACCAAAAGCAGCCCATGATAATTGTGTCCTTCTTTTAATTTCTAGGGTTTGATTTTCCTTTTCGTTTTTAATTGCATGTCCTATATATATATATATATATATATATATATATATATATATATATATATATATATATATATATATATATATATATATATATATATATATATATATATATATATATATTGTTCTACCTTTTCTATATTGATGTTATCTATCGTGATGTTTTCTAGGCTGTTGCTTAATATCTTTGTTTTGTCGAGATTCATTTTTAATCCTATTTGATTCGATTTGTGATTTAAATCTTGTAGCATTGATTTTAGTTCATGGATATCTGTGCTTATTAGTACTATATCGTCTGCAAAACGCAAATGGTTAAGATATTCTCCATCTATTTTTAATCCATTTTTTGCCCAATTTAGTTGTTTGAAAACATTTTCTAATGCCAAAGTACAAAACTTGGGTGAGATGGTGTCGCCCTGTCTCACACCTTTGCCAAGGTCTATTTTCATAGTTTCCAGATCATCATCTATTTTTACGTGAAAAGTAGCATCATCGTATATATTCTTAAGAAGGGCAGCATATCTTGAATCTTCTCTGGCGTCGTCCAATGCTGTTAAATGTTACTTTTACATATTACTTCCAATTGTCTAGTCTGTCTTCCACACTTAATAGTAGATTACCAAACATCCAACTCTTTTAGGCTTGTATAAGCCTGTTTCTGTTGGAATAGCTGTTTTTCCGCACACTGTCTTTTCTCTTTTTTCATTTCTCTCTTTGCACTCTTGTGCAATTTTTCAAGCTTCTGGTCTAATAAGTCAGTTTAAATAATGGTATTCAAATTGCTATGTATATACTGTTTTACACTGTTCTTTGCATTGGTCTGCGAGTAGCCTGATGTCGTATTTTGGGTTGACACTACTTCGAATCTTTTTTAGCCTGACCCTCATTTTGCAATGCAATGGGTTGTGGTCTGACTTGATATCGGCTCCTGGGTATGTCTTGACTGATGTAATGCTGTTTTATCTATCTATCTATAGCCCAAAATCTATTCATGTGTTGAATATAGGCCTCTCCCATTTGTCTCCATTGTGTCTCTGTCTTCTGTTTATAATGCTGTTGTAATGCTGTTACGGAATCTTTTATTATTCAGACTATGTGGCTTAAAGTAACTTGAGGTCATTTCCACGTGTATAATCTTCTGTATATAAGTTTAAAGTAAGTGTTAGTAATTATATACTCTACTTCTGATACAAATTCACTCAATCGCTCATTTCTTTCTCCAAGCCCAAACTGTCTTATGAATTTTTCCGATTGTCTCCTACCAATTTTGGCATTTAAGTCACCCATAATCGATCCTTTTTGGGAATGTGTTTTAAGGTGTTATATAATTTATTATAGAATGCTTGTAGCTAAATAATGTTAGTTGTTATTGGGTAGGTATCAAGTTGAAGGAAAAGCAATCTTTCTGATATGGGTACAAAGTTTTTAAGATATCTGGCGGTTCGTTCATCTCATTTTGTTTATTTCCATGATGTCTATTGATAGTTTATCTATCTCCTTGATTGCAATATGAGTCTTACCGGCCTCGAATAATTTTTAACCTTTCCATGTGCAGATTGCGAGCATTTTCTGGGCACTAGATTCGCAAGAATTTCGTCTGTTGGCGACTGAAAAGACCTTGCTGTCTTGCGATTGTCCTTTTCTGTCGAATCTTGGTATCCAAATCCCATGATCAGTATTATCGTTTCATTGACTAGTTGTCCTACTGCTGATTATATTAGGGGTACTCTTCGAGCTTTAATACAGTGTTTATCCTTTGCTTTCTGCATCTTTATGCCATTGACCATTGTTAATAGGTTTCTCCGCCTGTAAGACCGATTTACCAATCTTGGGACAAAAAGGTGCCCTTCCACTTATCAGTTCATCCGCCCGGAGCCGTTGACTAGTAAGTGGGGGGATTGCTTATACCGAAAATAATTCGGTCAATTGCGAAGATTTAAATTGTTTAATGAAAAAAACTAAATTTTATGTATATTTTTAGATGTCATGGTAAATGTTGCGAATCATTATTTCCAGTATTTAAGCAACTTACCAGGTACGTAAATCAGCCTTATCTGTAAATAGTGTGTAACTTAAAACGATTTATATACGAATTAGCAGAATACGTAGAACAGGAGTGGCCAAACTTTCTTAACAGTGTGCCACTACCTGTTTATGAAAAGTCAGTCATGCCACCAAAAATTTTCTAACAAAAAATTTATTAGGTAGGTGGAATTTGTATGAAATAACAAAAAATATATGTAGCTACAATAGTATATTATTAAACGAGCATGTAATGATGGCTATTATTCACGATGATGAAGTTTGCGGCACAAGTGAAAGCGAGTGTCGTAATTCATCAGAGTGAGTAATAGCCATTACATGCGAGTAGAATACTATACTTTTTCTACGACCTTTTTTATTTTAAATAGTAAAAAAATATAATTATCAACTACTCGAGATTGTTTATTACATGTTTATGGTTGATGTGGTTAATGTAGCTTCTGAATCTGAATTTTCTTGATTAAATCTTGAATGTTGGGGCCACTTTTTGTTACAGCTAATAAAATTAGATTTTTTAAATGATTATTGGTTAATTTTGAACGATATTGTAATTTAATAACATTCGTAATTGAAAACATTTCTTCACAAACATACGTCAAACCAAAACGACAACAAGACCACAAAGCAAAATTGTGAAGATATGGAAAATCAGCTGTGGAAACGTATTTCCAAAATTCAATATAATTTGAATTACTTGTACTTGAAACAAGCTCGTTATGTTTATTTTTCACCAAAACATTACTTTGCAAATCTATTATTTCCATTTGGAATTCCGGCGGATAATTTTCAACGTTTTTAAGTGAAATGGAAAAAGGATTTGTGAAAAGTTGAATATTTATATTTTTCTACTGAAAATCCTGAAATCTCGTAATGAGGAATTCTACAAAAATTCGCACCTTAACTGGAGCCAAATATGGTGATATTTGGCTCCAGTTAAACCAAAATCGCGAAAAAATGAAAAAAAAAAAAATTGATTTTAGGGACTGAATAACCGCTTGCCACATTTTGAGCAGGTGTTTCTTGGTTCTCAAATGGGTCAAAATTCATTCTGGGGATCAAGACAAAGCGACTGGTACCTAATATGTATGTGTGCTCCAACTATAGAGGTATTTTTAAATCTATTTTCGGATAAAATCGCGAAAAAATGAAAAAAAACGTCGATTTTAGGAACTGAATAACCGTTTGCCACGCTTTAAGCTTTTTTTTGGTTCTCCAAAGGGTCAGAGTTCATTTTGGGGACCAAGACGAAGCGATTGGTAAATAATATGTATGTGTGCTCCAATTGTATAGGTATCTTTTAATCTATTTTCGGGTAAAATCGCGAAAAAATGAAAAAAAAAAACGTCAATTTTAGTGACTGAATAACCGCTTGCCACGCTTTGAGCAGGTGTTTCTTGGCTCTTCAAAGGGTCAAAGTTCCTTCTGGAGACCAAGACGAAGCGATTGGTACCTGATATGTACGTGTGCTCCAAGTATAGAAGTCTCTTTCACTCGTTTTTCGAGGCAGATCGCTAGAAGAATGAAATAGCTTTAGCGAACAAATCAGTTTTTTGTTGGAAAAAACTTAAATTTGCCTTTTTTTTGAGGCTCGCACCTGAAAACATGTTTTTTGGTATCAACCTACAGAAAAAAATTGTTACTGCCGGGTACGGGCAGCAAATTGCAATATCACCATATTTGGCTCCAGTTAAGGTGCGAATTTTTGTAGAATTCCTCTAATAAAGGAGCTTTGAAGAGTTAACATTCAATTTTTAAATATATCGTAATTTGGATCATTATTTAATTTGATGGCTCATTCCTTCATGAATTTAAAATGAGTGAGTTTTTTTTTTCATTAAAATCTGAATAAAAAAGTGATCAATCTCTTCCTTGTAATCTTAAATTTAATATCTTTAAATGTCCCATTATGTCCGCAAGGAAAGCTAAATCCCATAGCCAGTCTTCATTTTTCAACAGAGATCACTTGTTTGGCAATTCCTCATTCTCCTCCAAAAATTGCAAAACACACTCTTTTAAATTCCAAAATCTTGCCAGTGCATCCTCTTTGGACAACCATCGGCTTCGAAAAAGGACCTAGTCCTATCCAATCCTTAATGTTTGTAGCTAGGTCATTTTTCGTCTGCCAGGACCACGCTTTTCTTCTACTTTTCCTTCCACTATTAGTTGAACGAAGTTATATCTCTCATGTCAAAATATATTAAAAAAAAGATTTACAGTTCATCTAAAAATACATTTCTATATGATGGAGAAGAATTTTAAGAACAAATGCAAACGCGTGATGAAATTATATTAATCAGCGACATTATTCATCAAGAGAGGTATAAAAAATACATTAAAGACTGCAATAAAGGTGTAATTCACCTGCCTCCTCCGTTTCTTCCTAAAAAAGTTCTTGGAATCGTCGTCGATTACTAGCTCAAGCATGTATTTTATTGATACACCATGATACAGGTTCAATTACCGAGGATAGATCAAGGTCCTTGGCACATAACGCTTCTTGGTGGATTATACAATGAAATTTGAAAACATTTCTTTCTAAAAAGTTCATAGCCACACAAATTCCACATATCAAACAGAAAGGCTTGAAAGTGTTGTGATGAGTAAATAAGAATTATTCTTCATATTCAGTTTTGAAGTTGATGGCTTACTTGTGGTCATTTCGAAAACAATTGTTTTAAAAAGAAATAAACTGTAAAAACAGTATCTCACAAGGCAAACAGACTTGAAGCGTATCGCACAAAAGTTGAGAATCAACTGAGAACTGAGTCAACCGGGCATCGACAATCGACAAAACGATGAATAACATGAACGTGTCTAGCGTGAGGCAGTAGCGTACAATAAAAGAGTGGCGTAGAATAAAAAACTAGTTAATAAAAAAAGTTAATTTTTTTTTATTTTGCCAAAAAGTCCTCGCGTGCCACTTCTAAGACACCGCCGTGCCACACCGTGGCATGCGTGCTGTGGTTTGGCCACCTCTGACGTAGAATGATTGTCAGGGTGCAATATGCATTGTATCAATCTAAAATCTCCATATTTATATGGATTCTACGCAATATGCAACGTATTTTTTTTAAGAATTATGTAGTAAATAAAATCTTATAGAGATCTATCACAACCAATACAATTACAAAATAATGTAATTAAGCAAAAAAGTAATTAAGCTAAACATAAAATCAAATAGAAAGAGGATTGTTTATGGAATTCTTCTAAATTTTTATGTTAGTTATTTAATGTGATGATTTTATACTGTTTATTTTTAACAATTTTAAATACCATTTAATTTTTTTAGATGCATCTGAAACTATGGTTGGTATATTAGCGCGGATCCTGGTACCAGCAATTCCAACAAATGTTCAAAGCCTACTAAATGTTGGCATTTCCAGGCTTTTACCTGAAATAAGTATAGATTTACCGCCGGCAGTAATTTTCAACTAAACTGTAAATAACGCAGTGCTTAATAAATTATTACTTTCGTTATTTAACAAAAATACAAGAACCTGGTTAAGCAAGTGTGCTTTTTAACGTAATACTATATTTATTTATTGTACATATTAACATTCACTGTAAACAAAAAAATAATAAACAATAATTATATACATATACTGCAAAATTTATTTACAATTTTTCTTTTATTTGATCACCTATTTTTCCCTTCATTATTAAACCATTTTGTAACCATTGAACGACCACTCATATACACTCCGCCAAAAAAGTATGGCATCACCTGTGAAACTGCAAATTTGGTATTAAAAATAATTTAAAACATGGATTTTTTACTGTTTTTTTTTTATTTTTTAAGTACGTAAAAAGTATTAAAAGAAAAATGCAGAATGTACAAAAAACACAGGTTTTATTTAATTTATTTTATAAATTAGAAGTAAGCGCACAAACAGCATTGAATAACAAAAAATAATAATCAAAAGTAATAATAATTTAGTAAGACCTATTGCCTCCTCTAACTCTTATAACATCTAGACAACGTTGTGGCATACTTCCAATTAATCTTCTTAATTAGATAATCTTGATCGATATTATCCCATTCTACGGTTAACAACCGTTGCAGGTCCTCAAGATTAGCTTCCCTCATATTACCAGATCTCTTTTTTTTTTGTAAAGATGGTCCCAAATATGTTCTATTAGATTTAAGTCAGGGTTGTGCGCTGGCCAATATAAAACCATTAATTATAAACCACTACCTAGATAGCTCACCTCGTGGTAACTGAAAGACGTATCAAAAACTAGATGGCGTTACTCGAAAACCGTATCGAGATTCTCATTCTCTCTCTGACTTGCGAGGAGCTAGGAGTAGTGTCAGGGCCGAACTTACCCTATAAGTGTATAAGCTGTGTCAAGTGTTGTGACAAGTTATAGCGAAATTTTATAAAAAAAAGGACTCACATTTTAGATAAAATGGCCTGTGTAACGCATAAATGTGTTTACGCGGGATGTTTTGAAAGAAACGATGAAACAAATAATAATATATCTTTCTTTAAATGTCCCCTGAAAGACGTAGAGCGCACAAAAATTTGGCAAAAAAACTGCGGGAATATTGATATTATATTGATGGATATCAGTGACCTAAAACAGAGGGTAATTTGCCAGCATCATTTTGCAGTGGAACATATTTACCAAAGTGGCCAAAGAAAGTTATTAAGGAAAAATGATTTTCCTCTAAAATTTACACAGTTACCAATTGATTTAGGTGAGTTAACTCAACTTAAGAAATATTTTTATGTTTGCGTAATGCGCTTTGTCAGTAGAGTAATGCTAGTAAAATATGTTATAAAATCAGTTGATATTGAGTGATTTATATATTTTTATACAATTAAATCAAAAGAATTTTTTAAATATGAATGCGTTGTTAGTATCACTCCAGAAATAATGGAGATGCTTGTTTTGCTTTAATTAAAATACCACATTCATTTCAATGATTACCTATACCCCACCAGTATGTTCTACATACGTTTATTGCGGTACAAAACTTAAAAGATCTACAAGTGACGATTGCATGGTTAGGTCAACTCCATCGCCTATGAGATCAAGTAGTAGTCTCAGTGATATTTCCAGTTTTGAAATTAATTTACCCACAAAACTTAAAACTGAATTGATGGAGAAGGTAAAAAAATTGGAGTATCAAGTAAATGCTTTAAAGAAGAAGTGCCGTCAGAAGAACAGTCAGCGTTGTAGAAGAACAACAAAAAACAGAAAATCGGCAACCAAATTCATGTTACAGTACTGTTAGAAAATAGAAGCAAATACGTGCACACTTTTGTTAATATGCAGTTTTACACAAAACTCATTCACAATGGAGTCACAATGAAAAGGATTTAGCTCTGGCCATTTATTATAAGTATCCTAGTTGTTACAAATTTTGAATTAGATCTCTTAACTTTATATTACCTTCAGTAAAAACAATTCAAACTTGGTTGCGTGTCTTAAAATTAAGAACATGTTTAAACACTTCCTTAATTCAATCTAAGGTTGAATGTTCGAATAATTAAACTTTGATAGTATACAAGGCAACTATCGAACACAGTGATTAATTAAATCTTGCCCAAGTACTTTCGATCAATAGATCATCTTCAGGGCATTTCGTCAGTTGTGGCCTATCCGACATGAGTAGAATGTCATAAATGTATAATCTGGACATAACAATACAATACACAAAGACAAACAAACACTTTAAAACTTTTAAAAGGAGAAACTACATGTTATATAGAAACCGGAGACAGAATATATTCTATATAATAATATTCTATATAACATGTAGCTTCTCCTTTTAAAAGTTTTAAAGTGTTTGTTTGTCTTTGTGTATTGTATTGTTATGTCCAGATTTACATTTATGACATTCTACTCATGTCGGATAGGCCACAACTGACGAAATGCCCCTGAAGATGATCTATTGATCGAAAGTACTTGGGCAAGATTTAATTAATCACTGTGTTCGATAGTTGCCTTGTATACTATCAAACTTCTTTAATTGACAAGTTGAAGAAAAAAGCAGAGACAATGGATGAGTGGGAAAAAATTTGTGTGTTAATGTTTGATGAAATTTCTTTGAAAAAATAATTGGAGTACAATAATTAGATGACATTATAGAAGGGTTTCAAGATTTAGGTGCTTTAGGAAGAATAAACAAACTTGCCAACACAGGTCTGGTTTTCATGATGCGCGACTTGCTACATAACTGGAAGATTAAGATTTGTTATTTTGTTACAGGTAGTCCAATACATAGCGACAACTTAAAAAACATTGTAGTTGTAGTTGTTTCAAAATTACAAAATATTGGGTATATACCAAAAGTGTTTGTGTGATCAAGCATCTAATAATGGAGCTTTATTTAAGCTGTTAGGCGCATGTAAGGATCAACCTGCAATAGAAATAGGAAATCAGAGAATTTTTACTGTGTTTAATATACCCCACTTATTAAAAAGTCTAAGAAATAATTTTCTTAACAAAAAGTTGACGTTTTTTGCCGATTCTAAACAAATATTGTGGCAAGATATTGAATACACATACAACATCGATAGAACCAATGTAAGAGGACAATGCATGGTGAAAATAACAGACGTTCATATAAACCCTAATAATTTTCAAAAAATGCGTGTAAAATTAGCCAGCTACAGGAAATATTTTTCTTGTGGATTTTGAACCAAGATCCTCTAGAAAAATTGTGCTCTATTGTGCACAATAGGGGTGATTACAATCCAACACCTAGTGTTAGTCAGTTAAAAAGTGCTATTAAGCATAACACAAATAATAAACTAAAAATTGTTTTAGACAATGGAAATTGTGAAATAGCACAAACTGTTAATTTAGATTTAACCCACGAAGTAACTAGCGTCGAAATATCTGACGAGTCCATTGAAACCCAAACAGTTCGTGTAGAAAAATCTTTAGACAAGAAAAAGGAAAATAATGACAACCAAATTTTAAGCGTGGCAAATTCCATCAAATCTAGCATAAATTTACAAACGTGTGCTGTTACATATGTCGCTGGTTATGTTTACTATAAGATTATAAAGAATTTGAATTGTATTCAATACCAGGAAGGGTTGCTAAAAGACAATAAAACTCTCAATAAAAGAGGATTTTTTAGTAGTAAACATTAATGATAAATGTTTTGGAATATAATATATCAGGCACATATTTAAGTTTTTACACGGTATTTAACTGTAAAATTAATTTTTTTTTAATAAAATATTTTGTGAAATTCATGGTTTTCTCCAGAGACCATTCATATAGTCATAAAGTTCTTAAATTTTAAATAAAAGCATCAATTTACAATTTTTGCTTTCTTTTCAAATAAATACTCAATGACTATTTTATCTTGGAGACTACTAAAAACAATGATATTTATATATTTATTATATTTTTGAAATGTCGATATGTAGAAAATATTTAAGATATAAATTTAAATTTAACAGATTACGCCGTAAACATATTAAAATAAATGTTAATAAAAACTATGGAATTTTTGGTAATGTATATCTAAGCTTACTGGATTTAAATAAAGATTTATTTTATACATTCATTTCGAGGTAATAACAGTAAAATATGACAGCTAGATAGAAATATTGTTGTTTTTATTAATTTTTTGTATATTGAAAAAAAGACGCATTCGCCAAAAGGTTTTTAGCGACGAAACAAAATATAAATAACAAAATTGAATAACTACAGATTATAGACAATGTTTATAGATTTGTACTTGGACCAGGTACTTAATATAGACGAAGAAGAAGAAAACCTGGAAGACGAAAGAGATGTGGTAAGTGGAACAGACGAGAGAGAAGAGGAACCACCAATGATTCTTGAAGTTACCAGCCGTAATAGATAATCGCCCAGCTGAACTGTATAAAGAAGGTAGTCACGATACCATAATGGCATTACAGCAGCTTATAAAAGAAATATTTAGACAGAAATCACTGGCCAATGTTTGGAATATTGGAATACCTTGCATAATTCACAAAGAAGGAGATATCTTTGATCGCTCTAACCACAGAGGAATTATGCTTGTAAATGCAGCGTATAAAATAATTTCCACAGGACAATGTCACGTATGGAACCATATGCAGAACGGATATAGAACTGGTTTTAATAATAAATTGACAATTCAATATCAAAAGAAATATTTGTAGCAATGAAAGAGCTAGAAATACCAAATCAACTTCATAAATGTCATAAATCACAACCATTGGTTCACTATATATTAAATCAGTACAAATCCTTACCTATGCTGATGATATCAATATTGTTGGGAGAAAGGAAAACGCCACACGAGAGGCGTATATAGCATTAAAAGAAACACCTACAAAAATGGGTTTAGTAATAAACACTAAAAAAACAAAATAAATAAGCACGCAACCACAATTCCTACGACCAATTGATATAGAAAACGACGTCAACGAAGCAGTGAACGAATTTATATACCTGAAAGCGCTCCTTAACATTTAAAATAATAGTACCGCAGAGATAAACCGCAGAATTGAATCTAGCAATTCAATTCCATTCAAATCAATCTATGAAGCAGTGAATGACAATAAAGTGTGAAGACAATACAACTTTAAACTTTATAGAATATACCAGGAAGCACTTATCATAACCAATATTACAGATAGACCCATTGGTCAGAGAATAAAAGGAAGACCAAGAACAAGTTTCCTAGATAACACGATGAAAACATGAGAAATATGGGAATAAGTGCTAGGCGGAGAAAGAAGATGGATGGGACGACTGGAGAGAAATTCTTAAGAAAGCTAGGACCACGCATGATTGTAAATCTGGAATGATGAACATATAGGTCTTAGATATTTCATTATATTATCATAGGAACACTCTTGACCTAGAATTTTTACTAGAGAGTTCAAAATATTGTAACAATGTCTTTCTTGATCATATGTACCACAATTTAATAAAGAGTGTTTAATTGTTAATCAAATGTTACACTGCTCCCGTATGGGTAGGTTATTCTTTGTAAAAAGAGTGTGTTAGTTTGGTATGTCCTACCTAATTTGTTCACGCCTGTTAAGCAACGATGGAATCCATTAGGAAACATTATTTTTGATCTTATTCAGCTTAGAATTAGTTTGGGAGCACCTTTTTTGCCACAAACACAACACTTTATTTTTAAAATAAGCTTAAGCCACTGGAAACACAGTTGTCTCTAGGCACCGAATATTTGCTTAAAATTACATATCGTGCAGTCCTGTCAGCTTCATTTGTCCTGTTATTCCAACGTGTGAAGGCACCAACAAAAATCGAATTCTTTTTTCATGTTGAGGAGCTTGGTACAGCTGGTATTTTAGCAACTTTTTACAGGAAGTATTTCAGAAATAAGTCAGAGAGTTAAACGAATCTGTTATGATTAGGGCTTTTGTAAAGGAAAGCTCGTTAATAATTTTAGAGCACGGTATATAACGTAGAACTTAGCTGAATATGTGCTACATACTAGGGGTAGACGGAGAAGACTGTTTTTTAACAGGTTGACTGCGTTACCGGTCCCGTGGGACCGGTGTTCGTTATTATTAAAGTGCGGTATGTGAAAACTGTAAACTTTTAAAAATTGCGAAAAGCATATCTTCGTTAATATTCGTTTGTTTTAAATGCTAAAAACAGCATTATACTTGTTTCAAGATTCCAAACATTTTTAAAAGAAAAAAATGTACCGGGCTTTGGGGGCCGGTAACGCACAGACATTACAATTTGTTACTCGGGTGCGAGACCGGTCCTGTGGGACCGGTGCATATTTATATATGCTTGCTTGCGCAGTCAATCCACGTTTAGTATCGTTTGTATTTCAATAGCAGGTGTGTTTATGTCTGTGTTTTACTAGTCTAAAAATGTCATCTCGCGTTAAAAAGATTTTGTTTTTAGCTAAAACAGCTGATACAAACAAAACAAAAACTGTAGAGTGTAACGAACCGAGTACTTCATTTGAAAATAAAAAATATAACGAAGATAACCCAAGTGTTGTAAATGCGCGCCAAAGTCCTGGTGATTCAAGAGATCATGTGCTTGCAGAGTTGCCAAACAGTGACAGTGAAAATGAACGGGACGATCCTTTTGATTCGGACGATTCTGTAATCGACAAAAACTATGTTCTTTCTTCAGATGACTCTTGCAGTGATGTAAGTACGAGTGATTTATTTGATGATAATAATGAGACAGAAATTGAAAGTGAAAAAATGTCAGAATCTGAAAATGATGATGAAAACGAGTGGCATGATATAGATGAGAGTGACAATGAAGCTGGTGAGTTGCAACAATATCAAGAGTTGCCTATATTAAATTTTAACGTTAATGAAATAAAAAATCCTATAGACGCTTACAAGTTATTTGTAACTGATGATCTTTTACAGAATATTGTTACTGAAACAAATAGATTTGCTCGGCAAATGTTGTTAAATATACATCGATCAAAATCACGTATACGTTCCTGGGTTGACTGCGATGTAGCCGAACTTAAACGTTTTTTTTCAATATGTATAGTTATGGGATTAGTTGATGGTCCCGCAATAAATTTGTATTGGTCAAAAGATCCCATGTTCAGGAATGAGTTTATTACTAATACCATGAGACGAGACAGGTTCCTTTTATTGATGCGTTGCATTCATTTTTGTAATAATGAGCAGTGTAATAAAGATGATCGGCTCTATAAGTTAGGTGAAGTTTTAAAAGTATTGAATAAAAATTTTCAAGCTGCATTAACACCAGGACGGATTTTGGTTGTCGATGAAAGTATAGTACCTTATCAAGGAAGACTACAAATAAAGCAATATCTCCCAAATAAAACACACCCGTATGGAATTAAATTATATAAATTATGTACAGTGGATGGATATACTAACAACATAATCGTTTATCGTGGTAAAAATACGACTACTAATGCAAATACTTGTCAAAGTGAGCAGATAGTATATGACCTTCTCCAAAATGTTGAATTCAAAGATGGTTACTACCGCTACTTGTATGCTGATAATTATTACTCCAGTTTACCTTTAGCCAAATCGTTATTCAAAAAAAAAATAATTTATTGTGGAACCCTGAGGTCTAACAGAAGAGGTATTCCCAAAACGATACCTAAAAAAATGAAAAAAGGAGAAATTTGGGGTGCTCAGAACAACTCGTTACGTATTATAAGATGGATGGACAAACGGCCAGTTCTGATGTTAAGTACTGATCCAACCCATACAACTACCTTAAAACCAACAGGAAAGCGGAACTGGCAACGTGAGCTTGTGATGAAACCAAAGGCAATTATTGATTACAATCAAGCAAAAAAAGGAGTAGACTTTAGTGATCAGATGAGTTCGTATCATTCCGTTTTAAGAAAAAGTTTAAAATGGTACCGTAAACTAGCTTTTGAATTTTTGCTCGGAACATCTATTGTAAATGCCTGGATTGTTTATAACAATATTACTTGTTCCACAAAGTTATCTATAATGGAATTTAGAAAAAGATTGGCACAAGAGTTACTTGTTACTCCAGTTGCATACGAAAACACCACTACTCCCAAAAGAGTTATCCATACTTTTGTTAAACCATCAGGACCTGGAAAGAAAAGGAGAAGACAATGCCAAGGATGCTATCATAAATTAAGAGAAACACATTCAAGCAAACAGGCAAGTAATATGGTGACAAAAGTAACAAGTTATTGCAATGAATGTCCTGGTCAACCAGGAATGTGTTTATCTTGCTTTAATAGCATTCATAAAAAATAGTTTATTTTTCTGAAACTGTATTGTTTTTTGTTTAATAATTAAGAAAAAATTGTTTAATTTCCTGAAACTTTATTGTTTTTTGTTTAATAACTAATAACATATTATTTAGTTTAGGACATATTTTTTGTTTTCAAATATCATTTACACTAATAAAATATTAAGAAGTTTTGTATCATTTACTCTTTTAATCTAAATCTGTAAAAAAATAGTAGCTGTCTTGACACTTCAAAAATATTCTTAACAGGAAACCTGATCAAAAAACGAATGACAATGGTAAGTTTTTAAATGTTTTTACTTTTAATAATTGATCTTAAAACTCTTATAATTTATATTGTAAAACTGTAGAAATAAAAAAAATAATTACGTCATTACCGGTCCCCG